AGGCAGGATGAAGGTCTATGGCTCGGTTAAGTGTGCCAGTCGAAGTCAGGAGTCTAGCCACCTTGTCATTGGCTCGGCCTATTACCCTCGCTTTTTCGAAGGCGAAGATGTAGTTCTTCCGCTGTACTTTTTCATAGACCATCGACAGCTGATTGCGAGCTTATGCTCATGCAACCTTGTGCCAAGGCGTTTGACCTTTTCACCGACATTCCTTGCATCGCAGTCTTGACATGGTATGCTGTAGACTACGGCTGACTGTTCTATGAAGAGTAGGAGGTTTTTGGGCCTCATTATCTGCTGTCTGATGGTTGATTCCGGCTTGTGAGCCACACCGAACACGAATAGCTTTAGGATTCTTGCAGTTGCCTCGGATACCTGGCATATATGTATACTGACGACGAATTAATGAATTGTTACCGTGTCGTGCAGTGGCAGCAACGCTAGAAGTAATTTTATTTTTAGAAATAGTGTACGACAATCTAAATAGCTTAAGTGGTAATTTACAGACCATACAAAACGTAAATTCGTTGACAAGTGTACGTTTTACAGCACTAAAGTAAATTCAGTGATGATCTTTTCTTGATTACACTACTGTTAGATCGTTAGGAATATTCAAATGAAATTTTTAAATGAAACATTCCTCTAAAAGAATCATTTATAATTTTCATAAACAGGGAAATGATTACCTGATCGCAGTTATTGACTTCCATTAGTTCTACAAAAAACGAAAGTGTAAGCAAATTTCTGTGCCACTGAGTGCGCAACAGACTGACCACATATAAAATGACCTCGAGTTGGCGAATATTTTGTGTATCTTTATGTTATAGTATTCTGGCAAGGACAGGTACCCTAGGATAGTTTTCTCGCTTTATTGGCCATCGTCAGCTAGGGGTAGCCAACTTCCATGTAGCCACTGAAATTGCCGCCTCACTCGAGCTTCGAACTCGCGTCTCGCTGGTCACAGGCAAATCTCCTAACCATTGAGCCACGAGTTCGCTGCCTTGCCGGTTGTTAATCGGGATGTACCCATCCTGAAAGGCAGATCGGTGTACAATTAACTACTATCGTTGTGTATTACTGAAAGGTGCTCCAGTGTACGGACGAGCACAGTGGCTGTTTGTGCGTCTCAAATTTTTGACCACTTTTCGGACACCATAGGCAGCTCACCAACACAATTCTTGGAGAAACTTTAAGCACCAATGCTCCTGCCAAATGATTTTATGGTCTCCTTTGATGCCAGGTGCCTTTTTGCTTCTCTCCCCGAGATCTGGCAGTCGAGACCGTGCAACCACGCCTAGAAGCAAATACGGATAAGTTCCTCAGAAACACATATATCCTACAGTTCCTAAAGTTTTGTCTCAGGAAATACTTCACGTTTTACGGAAAATTCTACGGGAACACCAAGGGGTTCACCGATTGCAGAATACAGAGCCGAGGCGTTAGTACAATGGTTAGATTCGCTGGTCCTCCAAAACCAGAGATCGAAACATTTGGCGCGGTATGTTTATTATATCTTCATCGTCAGCGAATGGGATCAGGTGCTCACGTTCAAAGAACGTCTCAACAGCGTCTTCCTGGACATATAATGTACGATGAAGGAGGTAGAAAATGGCCAGCTGGCCTTTATTGAGGTCCTAGTAAGCCGAAAGGATTGTGACGACCTGAAGATCAAAGTGCTTAGAAACGCGATGTAAGTACTGAACTTCAAAAGCAACCACCCAATCAGCCACAAGCGCGGTTCCGTATGGACACTTTAACGACTTGTTGAGGCGTTCTGGGGTGAGACGGAAGAAAAAGGTGCCGCAATACAATATCCTCCATGGGTGTTTGGAGAAAAGGGCAACCCATGCATGTACAAACGAGAGAAACGACAAAATCATACCCATCCCAAATATAAGTGAGCGATTTCGTTTATCCAAAAGGTCTCGGAAGCCGTCGGCCGCCTTCTCGCACCACTTGGAACTGGAGTCGCACACAGGCCGGAGGCAAGCATAAGGCGTAAGATAATTGAACCAAAAGACCCACTGCCCCAGCAAGAAACATCTGGAGTTATATATAGGATCTGATGCAGTTGTGGAAGAAACAGCTACGTCGCAGATACCGAAAGAATCATCAAGACGTGAATTGCCGCACACGCGGCAGCAGTACGGAGAAAGGACGCCAGTTCTTAAGTTGGGGCTCATTCGACGAGACTCAGCCACAAATTCAAATATATTGAAGTCGACATTCATGTAAGCGGTGACCATTGTATGAGTCGCGACTTATGTAAGCCATGGTTCATGGGCCCCCAGTCTGTAAACATCAACCTGCCTAATCCAAACTGGGTTCTCAGATTCAGTCTGGCTAAAGTAATTCGACAATTAGGAAGCGCATTGTCTAGCGCCAGCGCCAGAGCCCAATGGTTGAGCAATCATCGCGCCTGCGTCCACCATGGGTGATGACAGTTCAGTAGATCAGGACCCGCACACCGGCCAGCAAGCAATTAGCACCCAAACGGAAAAGCTATCCTCGTTGATGGGGGGAACCCGTTACATTTACTAAGCATACTGTAGCATGGCAACTGCATCCTATAAATACTGGAACATTCTGCGTTTAAATTACCCATTTCTGCTAGTGTCTCTGATTACGGATAAGCGATGGATTTCGAAAACTCAAGGAATAAATATTTTGCCAAAGCGATCAAATCTGTTTTTTCTGAGGTACTTTGTGGGATTCGTATTTTCACTTTTATTGGCAATTGACGCCTAAATCGTGTTAAATACCGACATGGAGGAGAGTTACTTACTCCTAGAGTAGGATGAATTAAATGGGGACTAATGCCAAGCTGTCCGAAGCAAACTACAGATCATAGTTGTTCCATAAACAAGATCGGTTATGCCCACGTGTTCATCATGGTCCCGACTTCAAAAGACAAAGCAATGAGCCCGTGGTGCAATAGTAGAGGGGTAAAGTCAATGAGGAATGGTCCGGGGTTCGAATATCTGGGGTGCCAACAATTGAGATTGGGTATTTCTGGCTGATGACGGCTTAAAGCCAGAAATGGCCATTTCGGCCACCCTTTGCTTTTTCGGATCCATTCTGTTGTAACGGAAGTCCAGGCCGAGATATCACCCTACAATAACGCCTTGTGTGAGTCCCCAAAGGAAGAACACGACAAGAAATATGCAACAGAAAAAGCCTTTGAGTGTAACTCGTACGACATACTTAGGATAATAAACGCGTGTGAAACTATCTCCATCGGGCCAATCAGCTTCTCTCCTATCATAGGCGCTGGCAGGATTGGCCGGTGACTCAGTGACTGAATTTGGCTTGTGATTTAAATTATTGTTCGTTAGGTCATCCTAACAAATGCCATCCTATCCTACTGGTCGCTATGTGACTGTTTGCTCGGGCTCAAATGTGAGTGGCAGAGCGAAAACTGAACTTAACTTTTCCTTTAGCAGATCGATGGTGCCCACCTATTCGTAAAAATACACACCAGTGCTATGGTAAAAACTTCTTTTGATTTTTGGCAAGCGTATGAAATTCTTCTGTTGCAACGAACAACATTTATCGGTTAAAACTTATACGGCAGCAAGTATCGATGCCCATAAACAGGATTACAAACTTCTAGCAAAAAATGCATAATTCAGAAGAGCATTTGGCGAGTGTACATTTTCGGAAAATTATCCTCAGGCCATACATTTACATGTGATGGTTAAATTTAAACAATCGATCGATCGTCTTTCCTCACAAGCGGCATACACTAATCCGCGCTCTGATTGGCTCCCGCTTGTAAGGAAGGACGATCGATCAATTGTTAACTTTTAACCATCCCAAGGAAATGTAAGCCTGAGGAGAATTTACCGAAAGTCTACACTGGCCAAATGCTGTTTTGAATTATCTAATGAGAATTTTTGCAACTTTAAATGCATAAGTGCGCAGCCAGCTCTGTTTGCTTTTGTGAACAGGTATGCTAACACTAAGTACGTCTCCCAATCGCTCGGATAATGGATTCACCACGGATTCCGGACGAATAAATCTCTGGTCCTAACGACCATATCTACTTTTTCCCGAATTCGAACTGTGCTCTGTTTGGTCTTCACTGTGTGACCTAGTAATTTGAATAAATATTTGTTGAGGGCCTGCGAGGTAATTGTGTATTTTGGTGCAGAATGGCTTCTTACTCACCACTCATTTCAACAATTGCTGGGCCTTCTGGTGGTGGAGTCCTTCTATGGCGCACAACTGCCACCAAGAGGATCAGCAGGGCAATCAACAGTCCGCCAAGAACTGCGAGCGTTATTCCAAAAATGATAGCCATTCTGTAGGGTCGCGAGAACGTCAGCGTACCTAGTACAACATAAAAACCTTCACGTAATCAATAGCAAGTCTGAGAAGGCGCTAAGTGGCATTAGAATGTTATAAGCATCTTCAGTCTAATAAGTACAACGGTGGAGAAGTTTGGGTAGATTTTAATAATTCACATGTCTCACGAATGGAGGCAAATGTTCGCATTCCAGGAACCTGTATATTCTGAGGAGAAGAAGGTTTATCGAACAACGGAATCTTTATTTTATTCGTCTGAGCTTTCGGGCTCCTGTAGGGTCCATCGTCAGAGATTGAAAAACAGCAACAAGCGAGGTGGCTAGTTCTGGCGTGTGTACAAAACTACTAAAATTTTAACGTGTAGAAAATCAATAATTATGTGGTTTGGCCGTCGACTCGCTACTACGGACTTTGTAAGTTTGTGCTAGTGGGCAAGATCGGCGTGGTGGGTGGGAATATTTACAGAAATAAAATCGTCAACAAAAACAAGCAAGATAAC